TTTGTTACATTCCCCTTGATCATGCCCTACCAGGTCTCCCACCCCCACCTCTCCACCAATTTGGATCGCTTGTTGTTCCCTTGTCCCTGGGTTTGTTAACACCTCTTGCGCTTTCACTTGTGTTTCTTTGAACACACCCCACCAGAGGGTCTCTTGTCAGACTCAGCTCTTCACAGTTGATGTGAATCCTGGGACAGTTGTATTGACTTTGAATACATGATCATTATTATTATTATTGGGGTTTTTAAATGGTTGTATCCTGATTTAATAATCCATCAAATTTTCTGTTTGAAGCTACTGATGTGGGAATTATATTTCTAATTTTTTAGTGAAAGTCTGAAAACATCACACGAATAGAATCTATCATACCCCAATGCCCCTTCATTCCTTGGAAGGCTGTTCCATGTCCATCATGTCCAGCAATGTGGGGGCCACTGCCAGCTCACCGCTTGACTGCAAAGCTCAGAGTTAGCTGTTCAAAACCACAAGCTGCTCCATGGGGGAAAGATGAAGGTCAACCTGGGCGGAGATCAACTCCATAGCAGTGGGGTTGGTTGGGTTTTGGTTTTAGCGTATTAGTAACACCTTGTTCATAAACCGACCCCTTCTGTCATTAAAGATCCAGTTTTCAGAGCAGCAAGTCTTACTGCTCTCTGCTTGCCTTCCTTCCGCAGTGCGCTCCTGCGGAGTTCAGCTTCATCCTCACTTTCATTAGAGACCCTCCCCTCGTTTTCAGGAGCATCTGGATCCATGCCTCCTCGTCTTTGTTTATCTGAACACTGATTTTTTTCTTTGGTGTTGAATGATAGTTGAACTCGCTAGAATTTGAATCTGAAAGATCAATTACTTACATCACTCGGGAGATATGGTCTCTCATGAGACATCTGCCTTGTTCAGAATGCCCCATTTTGTAGTCCCTTTTCTAAATCCGGCAGTCCTGAAGATGTTTGGCTGATGTTTCGCCCTCTACCATGTCTGTAGCTCAGCATGTTTTCTTTGATGTCGTGCAGCACAGCCCCACGTGGTCACCAAACCCCAAACCAAATTTCCTGCCCTCGAGTTGACGCCAACTCACAGCATCCCACAGGACAGGGTAGAGCTGAGTTTCTGGGACTGTACCTGTTTATGGCACAGGAAGCCCCCACTTCCTCCTGTGGAGCAGCTGGTGGTTTCAAACTTTTGACCTTTTGTATCACTCAGCCAAACGTGTAACCACTGTGCCACCAGGGCTCCTCCTGAAGACTCACAGCCCGTTTCAACTCTGCAAGGCTCCCTGCTGTTTTTGAACCTTGCCTCACGCCATCCGATGGATGTCTTCTCTCTTAATTTCCCATCTCCATTTTTTTAGCGCTGTATTTCTAACATTTTGTTTTCATTTATATCTAGTTAATTTATCTATTAACTTTTAATTACTAGACTGTAAACCACACTGACTGTCATAACGTTGATTCTGACTCATAGCCACCCAAGAGGAACTGGGTGGAACTGCCCCGTTGGTTCCACGACTTGAAACCTTTTACCGGAGCAGAAGGCCTCCTCTTCCTCATATGGAGCCACTGGTGGGTTTGAACTGCTGACGTGGTGGTTAGCCACCCAACACGTAACCACCAGGGTTCTTTTTAAAATAATAAACAGTACTTCTAAAGAGCAATTGTCTAGCTATTTGTTCTTTCCCTAGTCTCTTTAGTATTTTAGATAAAATATTTCAGGTTGCTGAATTACCAGTTCTTGGGGAGAGAATGATGTCACTTGTATGTATCTTCTGATTCAGTCTGAATTGTCTTATTTTTTTTTAAGTGTGGAAATTCTGTACTGCTTGGAACTGCCAAGGGGAGCCCTGGTGGAGTAGTGCGACCCACAAGGTCAGCAGTTTGAAACCACCAGCTGCTTTGAGGGAGAAAGATGGGGCTTTCTACTCCTGTAAAGTATTCCAGTTTTGGAGACTCACAGGGCAGTTTTACCCTGTCCTACAGGGTCACGCTGAGTCAGCATCGGCTCAGTGGTAGATGGCAGTGAGGAGGGGGAGGGGGAGTGCCAGGCACGTCTGTGTTTGCCGCGAGGTGGCCCAGGAGAAACCCTGGCTCTGAACCAACTTTCCCATTTGTTTCTTGCCTAGCTTTAAAACTCAACCCCTTTTCTCCCTCTACTGGCTTTGGTGACCTCCCTGCACCAGGATGCACGTAACTCCTCCTTCCTGTCTCTAGAGCCCACTCACCTCCAGGAGCCGCTTTCCCTGCAGGTGAGCCCCTTCCACCCGCTGTGGCATCGTTGGTGAAGCTGAAGTTCATGTGCCTTCTTTTGCAGACTCATTTATGTGGCGGGTCGGGAAGGTCACATGCTGCAAGCCCTCTCCTACATTAGTGTCAAGCGCCTCACTCCAGCCCCCGCCATCATCTTTTATGTAAGTATGGATTCCGCCATGGAAACACCCTCCCTCACGGCAGAAAGCCCTTCAGTTTGCGAGCCGAGCGCCAAACTGTGCCGCGGAGGCCATCCTGACACGGCGGGAGGAGAAAGTCAGGCACGGAGCCACTCGCTGGTGGTTTCAAATCGCAAACCTTGCAGGGAGCAGCCCACCCACTACACCTCGACAGGTCCTTCATTGCTACCCAGCGGGTTCCGGATAACCCAGGGAGCCCTAGCCTCAGGGAGACGGACTGACCGTCAGTCCTTCCGGGTACAGTTAGCAGCCCTTTGAGGACAGAGTAAAACTTTGCGGAGGGTTTTGCAGGTTGTAAATCTTTACAGAAGCAAACCTATCACATCTTTCTCCAGAGGAGTGACTGGTGGGTTTGAACTGCCGGCTTTTTGGTTAGAAGCTCAGCTCTTGATTGCACAACTCTTGAATACATTTAAACTGTTGAATCGTATGGTATGTGGATTACATGTCAATTAAACTGGTCAAGTGAAAAAAGAAATTAGATAGGAACCTTAAGAGGCCTTGATATGGATTGTGGTAAGTGTTGTAGAAGCCCCCAATAAAATGATTTAAAAAAAAAAAAAAAGGGGAGGCGTTGAGTTTATGGGATGGGGGAGGGACAACTCAGAAAAGGATGAGGATGGTCGCCTGGGTCAAAGAACGTGATTCATGTCCCTGGATCGCACACGTGGAAACTAGTGAATTAGTGAACACTTTACTAGGGGCGGGCTCGACAATGAGAACATTACATAAATGATAGCAAACAGAGACAGCCCGTTAGCCACTGCGCCGCCAGGGCCCGTGGTACTCGAGGTGAGACAGGGATATAGAAGCCCAAGACCTTTCAGCCACGTGCCTCACCTCTCCGCTCTTGTTCCGAACGTCACTGTGAAAGATGCTGTCGCCCAAGCACGCGCCTCTCCACCCCTTCCATCCACGTTTGTCTCGCTCTGGTGACAAGCTGTACCAACCGCCAGCATGTGGCCTTGAAGGATTTACGGGTCCTGGGCAACTCGAGCGGGAAGTCCCTCTCACACCTTCTCAGGGGAAGAGTCCTTCGTGTGCACCTGTCCTGAACACAGGCCTCGTCTCAGGGAGCCAAGTGTCAGCACCCTCCCAGGTGACAGCTACTATGCTGACATAGACCCCCCCAGGGGAAATACCCGTCCAGGTCAGTAACCAGTGCAGGTCAAGGCCAGACCGAGATGGCCTCCGCCTATGTCTCCTAGACCAGGTGCTTTTCCTGTGATGGAAACTGCGAGAGAAATTCATAATTACGAAGTGATAAGTGTGTGTGGCGAGAAACACCCAAAAGCTCAAGAACTGAGCATATTTTTCCCATAAGAAATCATGTATAGCAAGTCATTGTCTCTGAGGCCCCCAAATGACACTTATAAATTAACTTCTCCAGTATTTTAAATCACCGTGGAGGCTCTTAGCTTTCTCCCCTACCACTGTTTGGGATCCGCTATTGCCATCGAGTTGTTTCTGACTTATCCGAATTATCAGTGACTTTTCAACCTTTTTAATGTTCTGGGCTCTTTGTTCGTAGTTAATGATTCCACGCCTTTTAGAAATCATTTTATTAGGGGTCACACCTTTTATTAGCTGCTTTCATCATTTTTCTCTTCTTCGAAAATGTTGGCACTGAGGACTTGACCCTGTTGTAATCTATAACAGCCAGGGCAGACAAGCGGTGGCCTGATTCCAACGTCGTCGCAGTGTTTGCTTGCTGTAGCTCCGCTTCCTCTGAGCTTTACCACCGGGATCCCCACCTTTCTTTGGAGCCATGGCGATGCTATTTCTACAGAAAACAAAGAGTGTCGTAAGGCACACATTCAAGCACTCCATGCCGTCTGCGTGAGAGCGGGGCTTGGACGGAGCGTCAGTCACCCCTGCGTGTCCTCCGCAAGAAGGGACCGGTGGCACACTCTCAGCTGCACAGGGTTTTTGGTTTGACCAGTGAGCAAAGGTATGGACATCGAGCAGGGATTTTTGAACTTTGCTGTTCGAGTAGTGGAAAGTTCGAGCATGGATCCACTCAACAACCAAGGTATCACTGAGAATGTATCAAATGGATTAGGGTCCGTTCACAAGTATGCTACTGAGATTCCTGTCATACATGTGTGGTTGTTGTTTTTTTAAACACGCTAAGGCATGTCTCCCAGGTCAGCGGATGGCTGCAGACAGGTCCTCTCGTTCAGCCTCTTTCCCTCGTGTCCTCAGGGTGCCGTCACCAGAGGCCCATCAAAACAGCGGCTTCCCAGGGACAAGGTCGGTCACTTAAAGTTAAGGCAGAGGGCCGGCTTAGACGCTTGAGTGGACTGGGTTTTGCTTTTCCCTCAAGGAGTGATCTTGATCGATTTCCTTGAAAGACAAAATGGAGGCTTACCCGGAAGAATTTTTAAGAAAATTGAAAACTGCATTGGAGTTTTAAAAAGGTCCTGAGAGTTGTCCCAGGCCTGTGTTTTCCATCATGAGAGTACATCTGCTCATTCGCAGAGGACCGCAGTGCCGCCGGATGAGAATTTGATTGGGAAACAGAATCTCATCCAACTTGCAGCCCTGCTCTGGCCCTTCAGGCTTCTTTGTGTTCCCCAAACTCAAGGAACATTGAAAATGAGCACGTTGGAGTCTACTGATAATGCCCAGGGCAGGATTCTTCAAGATGGGTTAGTTAGAGGTTCGAAACGCCATCTTCAGAAGTGTAAAGACCTAGATGGAGGATTTGTAAAGACACAATAACTACACATTTTGATATTTTTACTTAATAAGAGGTTTGCATGGTTTGGTAGAAATACCTCTTGACATATATATATATATAACACATATGAGGGAACTCCAAAAAATTTGAGGGAGAATTCCATTATCTTTTTTTTAATAACTTTTATTGGGGGCTCTTACATCTCTTATCACAATCCATACATTCCTCTAAAGTGTCAAGTATATTTGCACATATGCCGCCATCATCATTCTCAAAGCATTCTCTTCCCACTTGAACCCCTATAGCAGCTACCCATTTCTTCCCCTCCCTCCCCCACCCATCCTTCCTCACGAACCCTTGATAAGTTATAGATTATTTTTTCCATCTTACATTGTCCTCTATCACCCATCACCCACCTTCGCGTTATTTGTTCCCCTGGGAGGGGGTTCTAGTTGATGCTTGTGATCAATTCCCCCTTTCTGCCCCCACCCTCACCTAATCCTTCTGGTATCTCTACTCTCCTTGTTGGCCCTGAGGGGTTTATTTGTCCCGGATTCCCTGTGTTGCAGGCTCTTATTTGTAGCAGTGTGCATGCCCTGGTCTAATCTGATTTGTAAGGTAGAACTGAGGTCATGATAATGGGGTGAAGGAAGCACCAAAGAGCTAGAGGAAAGTTGTGTGCTTCATCAGTGCTGTGCTGCACCCTGACTGGCTCATTTTCTTCCCTGTGACCCCTCTGTGAGGGGATGTCCAATTGTCTACAGAGGGGCACTGGGTCTCCACTCCATGACCCCCCTCATTCATATTGGTTATGATTTTATTCTGGGTCTTAGATGCCTGATACCTGATCTCGTGGACACCTCATGATCACACAGACTGGTGTGCTTCTTCCATGTGGGCTTTGTTGCTTCTCAGCTAGATGGCTGCTTGTTTACCTTCAAGCCTTTAAGACCCCAGCCACTATAGCCGGGCACCATCTGCTTTCTTCGCCACATTTGCTTATGCACCATTTTGTCTTCAGCGATCAGTTGTCCTGTCACTTTTCAGAAACAACACCTAGCACAACGAACATCTACCAAATATGACAGGGGAGAAAGGAAGATTTTTCTCCCCCATGAGGTTATCCACAGTAAAAAGTGCTTCTGCGGTCTCCTGTGAGGCGATCGGGATAATGTTCTATGTACCAGTGGCCTGAATATCCATTCTTCTTCCCATTAGGGTATCATAGCTATCATCTACATCATTCCTGGGGACATCAACTCCTTAGTCAATTACTTCAGTTTCTCTGCGTGGTTGTTCTATGGCATGACCGTCCTCGGACTCATTGTCATGAGGTTTACAAGGAAAGAACTGGAAAGGCCTATCAAGGTAAGCTGAATGCCCCAAATTTCACATGGCTTTGGTTTCTTCTTTTTTGAGAATAGATTGTATTATTTAGAGCTGTTTTAGGTGTAGAAATTGTGCAGGAAGCACACCGTGTTCTTATGTATCCTTCCCTATGTAGAGGACCTAATATTAAAGAGTTTAAGAGGGAAAAAAATGCTTGGAAACTGATTGTGGTAGCAATTGTACAATTATGCTTGATCTAATTGAACAATGGAATGTTACAATATCTGTAAGAGCTCCCAATAAAATGAGTAATTAAATTAAATTTAAAAATAGCAAGGCCTGAGGCTGACTGTGGACAAGACCGTCAATTGCTCCTATGCAAGTTCAGATTGAATCTAACAAAAATGAAAATAGAGCCAAAGTGCACCCTGAGTACACCCCACCTGAATGCAGAGAACATCTCAAGCACAGATTGGAACCCAGGACTGATGGACCTACAGAGACAGCAAGTAGAATAAGGGATTTGGGGGAAAGGTGGGGTACAGTGGTCGTGTCGGGGTGAAGAGGAGATTATATCAAGGAGTCCTTGTAGACAAGGAATGTTTAAAAACTGACTGTGGTAGCAAATGGACAATTCTGCTGGATGTGAATTAACTATGGAATAATATGATATTTGTATTATTTCCCAATTAATAATAAAACACAAAAAGAACAGATTTGACGCATTGAGCACTAATGAGCATGGGATGACAACAAGAACAAGATACATGGAGAAACCTTGAAACCAGGAAAGAAACAAAAGACCAAGTTGGAAGTCAGAAGAGATTCTGAAATTTGTTCTTGCATGTAGAATAGCAAAAGCAGAGAAAAAATGATGGAGAAAAAGTGCTGAATAAAATATTTCAAAGGGTAAGCTTGAGACGCTGGAGTAGTCTAATGAAATGTACAAAGATCTGGATTAGAAATCCAAAAAGGAAGACATGCTCGGCATATACCAAGAAAGAATTAGCGAAGACAGTTCTGGGCTTGCGGTAAAATATCAAAGGGTTCAATGGAAAACATGTTGGATGATGCCAGAAGCATCAACAGAAGAGGTAAGGAATAGATAGTCACTGCAGCAGAAAGACCTGTCGGCATCCAACCACTTCAAGAGATAGCCTATGACCAAGAACCCTTATGATTAAGAAGTCCAAGATGCACTGAAGGCAGTAGCCAAACGCAAAGCTTCAGGAATTGATGGAGTTCAATGGAAATGCTTTAATAAGTTGATGTAGCACTGGAAGCACTTACTTACCTGTGTCAAGAAATCTGGAAAACTATCTGGGGCAACCAACTGAAAGGTCCCTATTTTTAACCTTTCCAAGGAAAGGTGACCCAACAGAATGTAAAAATTGTGGAACAATATCATTAATACATGCAATAAAATTTTGTTGAAGATAATTCATAGAGCTTCAAGAAATTCAAACTGGATTCAGAAAAGGATGTGACATGGTGGACATCAACGGTGATGGCAGATAGATCTCAGCTGATGTTTACTTGTGTTTTATTGACAAAGGCTTTCGACTATGTGGCTCATAGCAAACTATGAATAACATTGATAAGAATGGGAATTCCAGACTTACTTCATGGTCCTCATTCATAACTAGTACATAGACCATGGGGCAGTTGTTCAAACAAAGCAAGGGCATACTGTTTTAAATCAGTGTGGTACCCTGTTTCCCCAAAAATAAGACAGTGTCATATTAATTTTTGCTCCCAAAGACACACTAGGTCTTATTTTCAGGGGATGTCTTGTATTTCCATGAAGAAGAATACGGTACACATTTATTGTTGAACAACAAAAAAGGAAATTTATTACCTGTATAAGGTACGGTAGTAGTTGTCATCACAAACCAGCATAACCAGATAAACTGTGAATCCTACAGTATCAAGAATGTCTTGGTACTACCATTATTTCCATGTACAGCAATCTATGGTACATTTACTCAATGACAGTCATGTCATCATCTTCTGGAACATCATCATAACAATCCAAACCCTTATTTTCGGGGAGGTCTTATTTTCGGGGGGATGCCTTATATTTCAGTGAGAGGCAAAACTGTAAGTAGGTCTTATTTTTGGGGGATGTCTTACTTTTGGGGAAACAGGGTAGTTATATAATCTGTTGTCAATTTGAGAGGATTAAGAGTGAAGGGGTGGAGTTTAGCCTGTCAATTAGGTCGCAGCTTGATGACCTCAATTGGAGGTGCTAAAGAGGTAAATAGCTCTCTGGAGGCAGGATGCAGGCTGAGTCCCTGGGGGACATTGCAGCTGACAAGACACATGGAGCTACTCTAGTGCCCTGAACTGGAGGAGCCACATGGAGACCCCTGTCAGCGCTGAGATGCTTCCACCACCACTGGGCCCACAAGACTTTGCACCCACTGACCTGTGATCTTCCTGCATTTGACATCATTGTATGTGTTTCATGAGTCTGAAGAGGAGTTTATGGATTGGTGTTGGACAGATGGGCTAATATCAGACTTATGGGCTTGATCTGGACTGGGCTGTGATGTTTTCTCAATACTCAATTGCTCTTGTACATAAAGGTCTTTCTTATACACATATGCGTGTTTATGAATTTCTCTAGTCTCACCCGACTAACACACTCAGAAAAGTTGTGCATCTGGGCTGTATCCTTCCACCATACTTAATCAATCTGTATGCTGAACAAAGAACTTGAGAGGCTGGAGAATATGGCATCAGAATTAGAAGAGGGCTTATTAACAACCTGCATGATATAAAGATGATATAATTTTGCTTATTGTAAGCCAAGAAGCTCTTACTGATGAAAATCTAAAATTGCAGTCTTCAGTATGGATTGCGACTAATTGTTAAAAAAACAAAACAAAATAGAAAAATGTTGCCAGACCTAAGGACATTTTGAGTCTTTCAGTACTTTTTATACTTTTTCAAATAAACTTGAAAAGTACTCAGTATTGTTGGGTTTAACCTCTTATGCCATGCACATTCTTGATATTCAAGCATTTAGCATTTAGCAGTTAGCATATTTGTTTTTCCATGGGGGCCATCATTAACATTTCATTTGAAATGCAAATTATTCCTGAAATATGTTGTTTTTCAGCATAAATGTTGTGCATTTTATCTTAGTGCTTGGATTAAAACATTTGTATTGTTTGGCTTTCTTTCATTTGCTTTGTGTATTTAATAATTGCCTTTTGTTTTCTAGTCTGCTTATATTTTGTATTGTACAATAAATTTATTTTAAGCTGAAAAACAAAACAAAACAAAACAAAACAAAACCCCGAATCCCACAACTGGACTAATCGGCACTCATTCACTGTCATCAAGTCAATTTAAAGTCCCAGTGTCCCCACAGGACAGGGCAGAACTGTCCTGTGGTTTCCAAGACTGTAACTCTTTACAGGAGTAGAAAGCCTCACCTTTCTCCCTCAGAGCAGCTGGTGGTTCTGAAATGAGGACCTTGCAGTTAGCAGCCCAACCCCGGGGGTAACCACTATGCTCCCAGGCTCCTCGTGATAAATGGAGAAAGATCGACGTCAGGATTCCATCCATTGGCTTGCTTGGACTCACAACCAATTCTCATGAAAGCAATTCTCATGAGAGCAAGGGGTGCATTGTCCTGGGAACTCTGCTCCCCGGACTCTTCAAAGCGTTAAACAGCAAAGATGTTCCTTGGAGGACGAAGGTGCAGCTGACCCCAACCATGGGATTTCCAACTGGTTCACATGAGAGTGTTGGACAATGAATACAGAAGACTGAAGAAGAATAATGCATTTGAACTAAGGTGTTAGCGAAGAATATTGAAAGTACCAGGGACTGCTAGAAGAATAAACAAGTTTGTCTTGGTCTAGAATGCTCCTTACAAGAGGATGGCAAGACTGTCTCACATACTTTGGGCATATGGTCAGGAAATACCTGTCCAAGTTGACTAGAGAAACAAATTCATAGACACTCATATGTGTATAAGAAAGCTTTACATACAACAGCAATTGTATATTGAGAAAACACACCAATCCTGTCCAGATGCAGTTCACAAGTCCAATATTAGCCCACGTCTGACACCGATCCATAAATTGCTCTTCAGACTCATGAAACACATGCAATGACGCTGAATGCAGGAAGATCACAGGCCAGTGGGTGGAAAGTCTTGTGGATCCAGTGGCAGTGAAGCATCTCAGCACTGGCAGGGGTCCCCACATGGCTCGGCCAGCTCTAGGTCTCTCGTTCCATCAGTGTAGCTCCATGTGTCTGTTCAGCAGGAAGATGAAGCAGAAAGTGTGGGTCTGGCCTCCAGTGAACTATTTATCTCCTTAGCACTTCCAAATGAGGTCACCAAGCTGCGACATGATTGGCAGGCTATTCTCCACCCCTTCCTCAAGTTGACAGTAGATTAGGTAACTGCCACAGCCAGGACATCATGCTTGGTAAAGTGGAAGGGCATCAATAAAAGAGTAAACTCATCAATGAGATGGATTGACACAATGACTGCAACAGCGGCTCACACAATTGTGAGGGTGGTACAGGACCTGGGTGTTTCCTTCTGTTGTGCATAGGGTCACCAGGAGCCACAGCTGACTCTGGGCCACCCACCCACAGGAGTGGGACTGGGCCGCGGTGGGTTTGTGTTAGGACGGCTGAGTAGGAAAACACGAAGCAAGCAGTGGGAATAGAAAGCGCTGTCGTTTCTCTCATGAAGTATTTATTTTTGTCAGCTTTGACCACAGACTGTAACCCACAATATTTACTGAAAATACGAATTTCTGTGGCAAAATATTGGAAATGATTGAAATTGGGTGCGGAGAACCTGAAATTCATGATGATCTTCTTGGTTGCTGTGTGTTTTGTTTTTTCTATCGTGGAAGTGCCCAAGCAGAAACCAGATGCTAACCACAGCACTCTGTTCCACCAACAGGTGCCCATTGTCATTCCCATCCTGGTGACTGTCATATCCGTGTTTTTGGTGCTGGCCCCGATCATCAGCGAGCCAGCCCTGGAGTATCTCTACTGCGTCCTCTTCATCCTCAGTGGCCTCATCTTCTACTTCCTCTTTGTCTATTACAAGTTTAGCTGGGCTCAGAGGATCTCAAGTGAGTATCTGCCCGAGGGCTGGCGTGCTGCCATCGGGAGTCCCAGACACCAGACTTCCCGTCATGGCGTCTCACACGGTGCGGCCCACTTCAGCTTGTTCTTAGGTGACCCGAGGCCACACCTCACAGCAACATCTCTGGGGCCACCTGCGGTCTCTGTGGTCCCGTCCATCACTAAGGAATAGGACCACAGAGTGGTGTATCACGTGAGGGGCTCAGCAGTATCTCAGACACCCAAGAAGTGGCAGCACTGGGACCAGCGCTGGGGACCTGGGGCTGAGCCCTCCCGTGACAAGGCGGCAGGTCTTGCTTTCCACTGGGCAACCTGGCCCCACTCTGTGCTATGACAATTGTCTAAGGAGGTCACCGAGCCCCCACCCTCACCAGTTGCCACCCAGGGGGTCAGGGGAAACTTGTGCACCGTGGGGGCCCCTGGGGCTGCTTGCTGAAGTCGATCATCAGGCTTTCCTCCTGCACCTCAAAGGAAGTCTCACTCACACCTACTTGTCTATTCTATTCCCAGCCCTTTCTGACTACAGCCTCTTTTGCAGGAAAGCCCATTCATAAAAGCCTTTGGGGTCCCCTTCCCAGCACCCTCGGTGTCTCCTGGCCTCTCTTCCCCCTACACTGAATTCCTTAAAGGCAGGAACTGGGCTGTGGACGAGTCAGTAAACAGTGGATATCTAACAGCATGTTAACAGCCAGCGAGCAATGAACAGTTACTGATCGCGGGTGGCTACGGCAGCCAGCCTCTTCATCTGGTCTGCACACACGTGTGCAGGGACTCCTGTGGGGGCTCTTGTGTGGCTGTCATTCACATACATACATTTTGGGAGAAAACAAGTGTGAAAGAGCCCCACCCAACCCCGCTGGCGGGCAATGCAGCTGGCCTGAGACGAGCACGGCAGTCTCTTCAGCTGGTGAATCGAGCTGCCAGCACTGTCTGACCGTGGTGTGACAAGTGAGAGAGGCTTTGTTTCCATTGTGATGAACAAAGTGAAATGAAGGCCAAATATGGCTGATATTTCCGCCAAGGGTTTTTTGTTTCCCTGTAACATCTTGGCCCAACCACGTCCTCGGACCACGTCCTTTGACGTCCGTTAGCACGGGAGCAGGGTGTTTTCTCCCAGGCCTCTGGAAATGAACTTGGATTTGACCTCACTGGCCTAATGGTACGAAGTTTTGTTTCTTGGTAGAAACTTTAGCCAAGCTTTTCTCTAGAAAAACTGGTAAGAAGGTGTGATTGAGGAGGCGAAAATAAAATACACAATGTGCATTTTAACCGAACTGCTGTCCGAGAGCCTTTCCACGCTTGGCCAGCCTGTGGTACTAACATATAATATATTCTTACTTTTCCCTAAGAAGTTGCTGGGTGGCAATCATTACTTCGCAGGCTGTGCCCAATACTGTTATTTCCCTCCACAGAACCGCTGCAGCTCCCAGGGGGTCCGTCCATTTGTCCAATCTCTCAGCACGGCTGTGCAGGGCTTGACAGGGGTGGCAGCCCCCTCCCCCAACCACACCTATATAGCAAGAGTCACCAGTGAGAGGCCGGCTCCCCGCAGGCAGGCGGGCAGCGGCAGGTGGCAGGGAGGGTTGTAACTGACAGGCTTCAGCTGCATTCTGTTCCTGGTTTTCCTTTCAGAGCCTGTGACCATGTACCTGCAGATGCTCATGGAGGTCGTGCCACCTGAGGTGGCCCCGTAGCAAGTCCAGCCTTTGGGGGCCCTGTCACAACTCTGAACTTATTTTTGTAAGCAGTATTTGTGGTGATTTCTTCGGGTTTTTCTTAGGGAAAACAGAATGTATTGAGATGTTTATGCTATCTAACGTTCAAATATCCTTTATTCTCTGTGGGGTGTTTCTTACGGTTATTGGCTAAAGATGTGCTCTCACACAATGCTGATGGCAGCAGGCGTGTGGGTGGGGCTGAAACCAGAGTGCCACCATTATGGTGGCAACTATTCAACTGCCCCAACTTTAATAAAGGGTATTCTTTAAATCAATGGTAAACCAGGTCTTTTTTTATATATTAAAAATTGGCGGTGGTCAGCCTGTGTGATCACGAAGTGTCAGTAAGATCAGGTATCGGGCATCAAAGAACAAAATATCAATTCATTGTGAATGAGGCGGAGTGTGGAGTGGAGACCCAAAGCCCATCTGTAGGCAACTGGACATCCCCTTACAGAAGGGTCACAGGGAGGAGCCAGTCAGGGTGCAGTGTAGCACTGATGAACATACAACTCTCCTCTAGTTCTTTAATGCTTCCTCCCCAGCCACACACTATCATGATCCCAATTCTACCTTACAAATCCGGCTAGACCAGAGCATGTACACTGGTACAGATAGGAACTGGAATCACAGGGAATCCAGGACGGATGAGCCCTTCAGGAACAATAATGAGAGTAGCGATACCAGGAGGGGAAGGGGAACGTGGGGGTAGAAAAGGGGGAACCAATCACAATGCTCTACATATAATCCCTTCCCTGGGGCTATATGTATAAAAGTACATGAAGGGAGACATCGGACAGTGTAAGACATGAAAATTTATAAATTATCAAGGGTTCGTGAAGGGGGGAGGGAGGGGAAAATGAGGAGCTGATATCAAGGGCTCAAGTAGAAAGAAAATGTTTCGAGAATGATGATGGCAACAAATGTACAAATGTGCTTGACACAATGGATGGATGTACGGATTGTGATAAGAGTTGTATGAGCCCCCAATAAAACGATTTGAAAAAGTACTTAAATTGGCAATGGTGTTGCTTTGACTGAAATAGCTATTTAAAATATTAAAGCACTGATCACTCCCCCACCTCCCCCTGCCATTTAACCTGGTGAAGCCAGTGGCAGGTCTTCCAGGTCTACCATGGCAAGTGTGATGCCCAGAACCACCAAGTCTGTGTTTTCGGGAGGGCCCTTGACTGGTGTTCGCATCATAGCACCCCATCAACCCTCACTGGTCTTTCCCCAAAAACAGAAAGGTGTGGTGGGAAAAATTCCATTTTATATCTGACACTAGGGGGAAATGTTTAAAACAAACAAAAAAGTCAAACATGTTTGTGAAAACACAAAAACTTTATTGATGACATAGCCCAGAAGTCATCCGCACTACAGCTGTATGTAAGCAAGTTTAGAAGCACAAAGCCAAGTCATTTTTACCCTGTATTTCCAAAGTTGACCCCAACCGTGAAATCAGTACATATCGTAGCAGCAGCAACAACATCTGAGATGACAACTGGTTACCTTCCACAAGCTGGCAGCTATGCCCTATGGACGGTAACCAGAACTTCAAACAGGAGTACAATTAAGTGTCGGAAAAAAACGACGAACGCTTTCACAGCGCTGTCTGCTAACCGGGTGAGAACCTCTAAGCTGCTGCCGCTGAGGGCAGGCCCGCTCTCCCGGGCGCTGGGGCTGTTTGCCCCGGCAGCAGCTGGCACCCCCAGATCCCCCAAAGGCCACCTCGAGAGGAACTTTTCACCACCACCCAAGTCCCGGTGCCACAAGATGGCCATGGTAGTGTCTGCGTCAGGTGGGAACCGGCATGGAGATGGCTGCTTGTTTTCCTCGCGTCTAGTCGGCACCACTGCGCCCATGTTTGCACCCGGCCTCCGGGCCACTCTTGGGGACTGGTCCACACCTCATTCACTCTCATTTTCGCTGGCCTCTGAAGTGTCGCCACTGGCTTCGGCTACTTCTGCCACTTTGCTTGATCGACTTTGAGAATACGTAACTACAAAAGTTAGACGTTATTAAAAACATGTAACTACAGAGAAGACTTTTATTCTGAGTGATGCAGACTAAGCCCCTGGGGTTCTAGCTCCATCTATTTTGCCATTCATGTACATCTTCGTTATTTTAGGTGAGCGACAAATAGGTAAGATCTGTCTGGTTATAAGTAAGTGATCCTCCTGGAAGAACAAAGTGTCAATTGTACACTGCTAACTGCTTTGTTTACTTTGAAGCAAGAAAGATGTATTTGTAAGCAAGGCCTTGGCCCGGGGCCAGGTCTTCTCTGGGCCGTGGGCAGCTTACCCTTGGAGAAGTGGTCGTCCTCTTCTCTCTCTTCCCAGTGATCAAAATCAAACGCCACGTGCGGGTTCTGCTCAAGGGGACAGTGTGCCAGTGAGTGAGAGGAGAGGAGGGGCAGTGTCCCGGGCAGGGCAGGCCCCACAGCCGGCCCCAGCTCACCCTCTGCTTGAGGAGGCCTCCCCAGGGCCCCCTCGTCTCCTTGGCAAGCGTGATGAGGGGCTCCTCGTTCTTCACGCTGCACCGGCACTCACCCTTCAGGATGTTGGCCTGCAGCGCCATGTCGGCCACGTAACGTTTGTCTCCCACCCAGGCACTGGGTGGACAAAGGGAGGGAGAGCCGGTCAGTGTTTTCAAACTCAAAACTTCTTGTTTCTAGCCAACTTTATGAAATGTGCCTCAGCCTACCTGAAAATGACCCTGTCTCTGAAGTATTTACACCTGTATTCTTTCACATTCCGTAGCTTTATCTTTAGGATGACCACGTCGTCCTTCTGAAACCACTTTACCTGCGGGTGGAAGCTACAAGAGAAGGACTCCCATGTTCACCGGAACGTACACCCATGTCAGGGAGAGCCCGCGCTCCAGCAGTGCAAGGACCCACCTTCTCAGGTCTGGGAGGGGAGGCTGCTGAGTGGGGTCGGCCCTGCTGCTTTCAGACAAAGCTTCTGCACAAGAGCAAAGTCAGGTTTACTTATCTGCAACTCTGAACATAAACACACATCATTTTTTTGCACACTGTACACATTTTTAGCTGAGAAATTACTCATATGAAGGGTCAAGTTCATTGTAGCCCAGTATTCAGTTGCAAAGAAATATTAAAAAGTACATCATTTTGTATAGCTAAAAATAAGTTTTGGCAAATCTCAAAATTAGAGAGCACGAAAGGAAAAAGGACTGCCTACACTCAGGACCCATAGGTTCCCGATACTCAGGCTTCTTAGAGTCTATCTGAACCTGTAGGGCCCCTTTAAAGACAACCTCGGGAGCAGTAACCACTGGGCCCAGGCAAGTGAGGGGAACATCATGTCTCCTCCAGGCCGCATCGTTCCATCCGGAGATTGGAACAAGAGTGGGCACGGCTAGCTTTGCCCCCGCCGGAATCTTTGCTTTGTTTGATCCATCTTTTTGGCCCCTTCAGGTGGTCTGTCATCCGATTTGCCCAGTGATCAGCTCATTCTGCACAGTGGTTGTGCTCCTAACGGTGTTAGTGCAACAGGCCCAAACTGAAAAGCACCTGCAGGGCTAGCAGCTGGGGGTGCGAGAGACAAACGGTGGCACGTTCCCAAGAGCGATTCCAGGTCGGCAGCACACAAGGACGGCTATCTGCCACGAAGGAGATGCAGCGCATGGACAGCAGGGATGGTCAGGCGGAGGCGCTGGGTGTGGCCCCGGAGCCTGGTCTCCCTCCCATCTGGCGAGAGGAATGGGGCTGGGAGGCTGGGAGTCAGACCGCGATTACCAGGGGGCCAGCTAGACAGGGGTCCTAGCAGTGCCCAAACCCTTCACTCGTGGGTCCCACTTCAGGTGAGAGCGCTTTACTGCAGGTGTGTGGTGCCTTAAGTAACGAAAGGAAAAAAGGTGCAATGTGGAAGCAAGGACAACATGGACAGCAGAAATGTCACTAACAGGACGCTGCATGATGTGTCTGTCTGTCGGTGCAAAGTCCGCGACAGGAAGAGGTCATACTATGAGTGACTTAAGTTCACCCCCAGCAACAGCACTGACCATGCTCTGGGCTTTCTGAGTTGGTCTCAGCATCGCACTCTCCTCCTGACGCCGGGGCCTCTGTGGCGGGGCTCTGCAGACCAGCGGCACCTTCTGCTGCAGGAGGGAGCCTGCACAGAAGAGGCAGAGGTTAGCCAAACCTCAGGGAGATGCTCGTGGCAGGGACTTCTCACAAGAAGTGAGAGGACTGGTGACTGTGAGTACAATCACCTGGGATCAGAACCTGCCTCCTCCCTGCTAGTCCAGATCAGCCCAGCTACCCAGTTTCTACTGTGGCTTTACTTGGGTACATTTTAGAATTTGGTACCAACCTTCTCGGTGCCCACTGGGTATTAACACAGCCTGCCTTCCATCAGCCAGAGGGTTAATTTCATTTGTCTCAAAAGCTTGTTTCATCTTTGAACCAAAGGCTGCTTCCCCATAACCATCCCAGCTCTCCCATTCCCCAAGGCCCTGGAAATGCAGCCCCTCCCCCAGGCAGCTCCTGCCAGCTGGTGAGGTGCTCCTGCTTCTCAGCAAACGGACTGTGAGCAGGCCGGGTGCACAGCTGGTGCCCCGACCTCGTTCCCGCGCTGCCTCATCTTGGCAAAGGCATCTTTTTTATTTTTCAATCATTTTTTACTGGGGGCTCGTACAACTCTTATCACAATCCATACATACATCCATTGTGTCAAGCACATTTGTACCATCATGTGTTGCCATCATCATTCTCAAAACATTTGCTTTCTACCTGAGCCCTTGATATCAGCTCCTCATTTTCCCCCTCCCTCCCCGCTCCCCCCTTCCTCATGAACCCTTGATAATTTATAAATTATTATTTTGTCATATCTTACATATCCAATGTCTCCCTTCACCCACTTTTCTGTTGTCTTCATTTTTAAAGGGGTATCGTAACATAATTTAAAAATTTCTATTATCTTTGGGCTCTATACTCCTATAAAGAGTTACAGTCTTGGAAACTCATTGGGGCAGTTCTACCTTGTACTATAAGGTTGCTATAATCAGTGTGTTAGACAGGGTTCTCTAGAGAGATAAAACCAAATTGCTGATAATTTAATATATTTATTTATAAAGATAATTAGATATATAACAAGAAATTAACTGTTAAATCATACACAGATAAGTACATACTACAAGAAAGAAACAGTTAAATTATAGAGCACTACAAATGGCTCAATTCAACTCACTCCCGTGAGAGAGTTGTGAGAGACTAGCAGGCCTTCAAGTCTAGTCTGCTGCCAGAACTTCCTCTATTTGTAGAGAGAGCTAGGCTATGTCAGCACAGCAGCCAATCAGAAGGCAGGTCACCAACTGCCAGTCCCCAGCTCCAGCGATGTCTTAAAGGGCCCTCAACTTACAGCGACACAGTCCACAGGCTAGGCATCTCACAGGTCGTGCAGCCTTTAAATTGAGGCACAGAACAAGCAAGGCAGCTGCACATTGGTCCGATGATCAAAGAGCGAGAGACAAGAAAGATGAGGCTCACCAAACCATTTATCTCTCTGCCCTTCAGTTAATCCCACTTGTGTTTATCGGCCAGGCTGGCACAATAAACTATCTCAATCAGCATCAACTCAATGGCAGTGAGTTTGTTTTTTGGGTTTTATATATACCACAAAGCCTACCCCCATCCAACAACCTGCACTGACTGACATGTACTGCCCAATGACATGGGTCACGACCTTCCTGTCTCTGTCTGCACTAGCTGAGACTCACAGCCGTCGCTCAGCTTTCCATCCATGCTTAGGGTTAAGGCTGCCTGCGGGATCCCAGAAAGACACGGGAGCTGTGGTTAAGACCCGTGTTTCCCACTGGCTGGGCAAAACTGTTGATTTTAGCTTAAAGGTGACTTCAGTGGGCAGTTTCGGTCCAAGGTTTAGGATTATCTCTGGGCAACAGATTTTGGGGTTCCCCCGGGCTCAATGTGGAGCCACTAAGTTTGAGTTTCCTAAGAATTCAAAACCTTGGTCCAAATTTTTCCCCCTTTCGACTAGAACCCATACTTGATAAAACTTTCAGTAATGGCACCAAAAACTTTCAGCCAGACATCATTTCATTATTCTGGTAAAAAAAGAACTTTGGTACAAATGTGCTTGACACAATGGATGTATGTATGGATTGTGATAAGAGTTGTACGAGCCCCCAATAAAATGATTTTTAAAATACCCCAAACTTTGTCCTTATAAAGAAATCTTTCTTTTCCTTAAAATGTGTGTGTGTGCGTGGGGGTGGGGGGGTGTCAAAGGCATATATATAGCCTAAACCCACAGGTACCCTAACTTTCTAGTAGTAACACTGAATGTGGTTAATAAACGCATTTATGTGGTAACATACCTATTTATATATTACATATTACATATGTGCATTATATTCACCATGTTGTACAACCCACCATCACTGTCCTGTTTTTTCACCACATCACACAGAAACACTGTCACACCCTCGCCCACGGAACCTCGAACTGACTTTCTGCCTGGGAATGTGCCCAGTCTGGGCATTTAACTTACGTGGACTAACAGTATCTGCCTTACGGCTTCTGCTTTATGAGCACAGTTTCATTCCAGTGTCAGGATGTCAGTACAGCGAAATCTTGTCCCATGCTGGCACAACCCTCAGTCATCCATCTGCCGAATGAGCATTTAGGCGATTCTCACTTCTTAGCTACTGTCCACATGCTGCAGTTCGTGTTGGTGTGCATGTACTACGTCTGAGCTTTCAATTATGCTGGTGTACACCTAGGAGCGAAACTGCTGGGCCCGATGAGGCTGTGCACCACTTCACCTTCCCAGCAGCCGTGCAGGGGGTTCCAATGTGTCCACGTGACACCCCCCCTCCCCCCC